TCCACTCACCTCAGCCTCCCAAAGTCGTGGGATTACAGGCTGAGCCACCGAGCCTGGCTTGAGTGTGTGCTTTTTTTTTTCTCGAACCCGCGGGCTCAGGCAGTCCACTCACCTCAGCCTCCCAAACGCGGGGGATTATGGGCTGAGCCACCGAGCCCAGCTCTTCTGTATTTTTTTAGCACCATTTTTCATCAGTGAGAAGTCTGGCTTTCATTATTTACAATATATGTTCTGGCCAGGCTCAGTGGCTTAGTCAGTAATCCTGCGCTTTGAGAGGCCGAGGTGAGTGAATTGCCTGAGCCCGCGGGTTTGAGACCTGTCTGGGCAACTTGGTGAGACCTCATCTCTACAATAAATCAAAAAATTCACCGAGCGTGGTAGCATGTGCCTATAGTTCCAGCTACTTGGAAGGCTGAGGCAGAAGGATCGCCGGAGCCCAGCAGGTCAAGGCTGTGGTGGCCAGGAGTGGCCACTGCACTCCAGTCTGGGCGACTGAGTGAGACTCCAACTCAAAAAAAAAACCAAAAACATACAATATATTTTCTTACTTGTTCAATCCTAGAACATAAAGAAAATAGCTTCAGAACTGCTAGCCCATGTCTCTGCAAAAAAAGAAGTAACAGCCAGGCCCAGTTGAAAGAAGTTTGGCACCAATAACGACTCCACGCCCGGTCTGAACCAAGAGATTTATTAAAGGGGCAGTTACACGAAGGGACTGTAACCAAGGAAGGGCAAGAGAGAGAAAAAGAGAGACCGAGAGAGAAAGAGAGTAAGAGAGTGGTGGGGACAGAGAGAGGAAGCAAGAGAGAGAGAGAGGGCCAGAGAGTGTGAGAAAAAACAAGAACATACTCAGTGATCTATCACAGAAAAAAAAGCAGAGTACCATATGTTCTCACTCATAAGCAGACCTTGAACAATTGTCATAATACTATAAGAAAGGGATTGGCAGTAGTGGGAAACTGCCGGGGGTGGGAGGGTCACACCTCATCAACAAGGGGACCTGCATCATGAACATTTGAATACCTAACCCTGAATTGTAACCCACATCTTTTTTTTTTTTTTT